ATCTCCTCTGGTTACAGGCTTTGTAACAAATGCTTCTACTTAGCGTAGTAGAAGAATTGCCTCTTTATAAAGTTTTACAGCTTCCAAAAGCCTATACTAGCCATGTGCAATAGATGAATCACTGTCATTCACAAACACTAAGCATGTAACCAAGATGATCTAAACCACTATCGTTCCATTTGCAAACTACATCTGGAGGAAGATCAGGACTTGGATCCCAGGGCACCACAGTTTCTCTTGCTGAGCATCTGCATTATTTCCTCCCACCCCTCTATTTGTCCCCAGTACTCAGCCTCAGTTTTCTCTACCCAGACTCTGCACCTCAGTTTGCCGAGAACTCGTCGACAATCACTGGACACGTTCTTCCCTCTCGTCAATGCTAACATCCTCAAGCTCCAGTAGCCACGGGTTATCGTCAGGCAGCTGTGCTTAAAGCATGATAACAAGTGCGGCACAGTAATTCTTAACATGTTAAAATACTTTATGGGCACTAACAAATAAATTTAGGCAACAATCCCAAGAGATAATCTGATCACTGGTTACCACTTACCTCAGTAATGGCTCCCCCAGGCACAAGCAAAGGGGACGCAGTGACCCTTGCTGTCTCACATCACCCCAGTCCTGCTGTGATGCTCGCTCACTACTAAGTGCTTACCCCGAGCAACAGAGCCCAGAGCAGTGCCCGCCTCAGCACCACCAAACCAGGCTGCAGAGTGGCCACAGCAGCCCAGGCTGGTCCCCGCTGCTGAGGGGCACGACTCCTGTCACCAGGACAGTCTGGGATTCAACTAGTCCCGGCTGCAGAAGGAGTCAGGTTTGCTACTCTGGTGCACGTTTTACTCGAGCAGCATTGCTGCACACAGCGAGCTGGTGCTCTTGGTACGTTTTTCCCTAATTTCACAATCCAGAAGGTGCTCTGCCTTGTGCTTCAGGGATCTCTGATCTGTCTGCACAGGATTAGATTGAAAAAACCATTTGGGACACCAGACTGTGACGCGTAGTCCTCCCACATGAGGGAAACAGTTTAGTTACTATATTTTAATGCATTCCTGGATCATGCTGAAGCCTTGAATTAGCAGGAAGCGCCCTCCATTTGCTTGCAAAAAAGTTTCTCTCTGGGTACAGCAACTTTCCCAAATCACCTGTTGCTCCTTGGACATTTTTGAGTAGAAACAGGCCGCAGCTGACAAATCTACAGCTCACAGAAATGCTTGTTAGGAGCAACTGCTCCAATGCTCCCGTGCTGCTGATTCAGGAAGGAGTTTTCCCCAGCTGCTTCTTAAAGCATTTTACCCAGCTGATGACTCAGCTTTTTTTTGCTTCGAGCATAAATCACCTTCTAGATAAAGTCTTGTTAGAAAGCTTTCATTTGCCCTAATTAAAATGAAACTCTGTGAAAGTATAAACAGTGGATCAGCAAGGAAAAACTAGGCTGAGGTCTGTGAACTTGCATTCTCCCTGCCCTCCTAATTCCTCAATTTATCACAGGAGGAGTAATATTCTTACTGCAAAGTCTAGCCTGAGATGGTATTTTTCTCTAAATCTGTAGGAAGGCTGCATCTGGACCACATATAAGGTGATCTCAATCCTTTAGAAATGACTGAATAACTCTTCACAACAAACCTCTTGCTTTGGAAAGACCTGAGCCAAACTACCAACTTCAAGCCTGAGCTCCTTCTTTCCTGGCTATCATTTTGCACCAAATCCTTAATTTTGCCTGATGCCACCACAGACCAACTTCTCAGCCTCAAAACTGCTTTCAGGACAGAGCAAACTCTCTCCTTTGCTTAAATGAATGCTGAACTGGTAAAGCACTGAGAGATCCATCACCACTGCAAACTAAACCACCTAACTCTTCCGTAGTAGCAGGAAAAGAAGAGCAATAAGGAAGCAGAGCAATCAACCAATCATGTTCTCCAGAAGGAAATGAATGGCCCATTAAGGAAACAGTCCTTAACCTCAACTTCCCCATAATGGGTCTGGGTCCTAGACTGCCTGGCATCAAGGGGATTTCATCCCTAAGAAGGGAGCCCAGTGCGGAGCTGTCTGCTTTAACAGCAGGAAGGGAGGAGAGAGTTTTCACAAGGCAACAAACCTCCCCCAACCAAACCCAACCTGTGGCAGTAGGTGCACAAAGGGAGGCGTGAAGGAAGGGCTCTGCCAAGCCTGAAGACCAGCAGCTTTCCCTGCTTTCTAGTTAGCTGGAAGGAGAAAAATCAGCATCCTTTTTGCTTATTGGTGCGTAGTCACAGTTTTCATAGATCACATCTTGCCTCTCGTGGCCCCACAGCCTTTCGCAAATCTTAATTAAGCAAAACATTTAAAGCAGGTTCACAGCTCAGCTCTGATGAGTGTCCTGCATCAGGAGAATGCTGGTTTCCTTGAGAAGACTAGAGGCTGGGACTGACAGGGAAACTAGCTCCACCATGGAAAATTTTCCTGGCCTAAAACCATTCTCCTCAGCAGTGCAAAATCCAAATGGTGAATCGAAGCTCCCTAAACAAATAACAACCTCTGACACTCACCCGTTGTCTGAGTCTCCATATGCTGGCTTACCTCCTGCCCTCCACAAAGCAAGAAGGACTCCGACACATGTTTGCTGACCCCACCGTTCAGGTTCTGCACGCAAGAGAACTTCTAACTTCTTCCCGTATCAACCCAGTATGGGTCCAGTAGGGATCCAGCTGATTCCGGCAGCATTAACGTGCAGTTACTGGATGGACGGACTAGTTGCACTGCTGTTTCATCTGCACAGTCTGACAACTGCATCCACAAACACCCACCATGCTGGGTTTTGAGTGACTGCTCCAGCACAGTTTGGGCTTTTTTTTCATTTTTAAATTTGATGAACTTCGAGTAGGCACAGAAGAAATCAAGACAAAAGCCAAGCGGCCACAAAACAGCAGATGACTGAAGCTGTGAAAAAGTTCAGGGCTGCACAGGGTGGATCTTCTCCACCCACGTCTTTTCTCAGCTACTAACCTGCAAAAGCACAGCCAGCTCCTCAGCAAGCAGAACGGGGCCAAGGGAGAGGGGAGAGACAAGGCTGCTCGCCATGAACATCATCTGCTGAGTGCTCCTGTGGCACAACACACTCCCCTCACCCTCCGCCCAACAAACAGCTCATCCAGAGACCCTCATATCTGTCAGAGAAGCCACCAAGCCCTAAAACCTAAGCTGGGGTCTCCGCCAAGGCTTGATATTATACAACAAATACACAACTGCGTCTCATCCAGGCGCCTGTTTCCAACTAGATTAATGGGTATCCAGAATGATACTATAATAGTTTTCAAAGCGACCCCCAAAATCAATACCCCCAATAGTAAGCTCTGGTTTTTGCATGTCGTACAAAAAGCAGTTTGGGAGAAGATGATCTAATACAACACGTATTGATTAATCAATTCCAGCCAGGATGCTAATGGGCTTTTCTTACAACAGTTGGCACTGGATGGAAAGAGCAGGATTGCTGAATGAGAATGGGAGAAAGCTTCGGAGCAAGGGGAGGGCATGCAGTAGGGAAATGGGCCCCTCCTGAGATCACTGTAAGCAGACAGAGACTTGAAAGAAGTGGAGAAACTGAGCAATGAATGGAGAAGGTAATAAATCAGGTATATTGGCTACAAACACAGCAGAACTGTACCTTACAATTTACCGTAGTTTATATTAATAATGCTTTCCTGTTGCTACAGAAACTCCTACAGGAAGGTCTGTGTAAGATCCCAGCAAGGGTCCAGAGTCTATAATGAAGTAGACTGTAGTCCTACCCATCAGCGAAATGGTCTGGAGGCATTATTAATGCCTACCTTAGTTATTTTTCCACACTGGCATTTCAGGCTATGACAGCGTGGGGTAAGTCAGATCGTCTATGCACAGCTGTCAGGTTGTCCTTCCTTCTAGAGCCGGCGGAAAGATGCAGCCGGTGTAACCCTAAGTTGCTCGTCATCACCACTCGCTGTCTCCGTCATGCCTCTGTACTTCATAAAGCCCTTTACTACCATAGAAAATGGAAGTACAAAACAGCCAAACCATCCTCCAGACTCTGACCACAGCACTTCGCACCCACTGTAGAAGACTTAAGCAAATCACCAAGCTGGGTCTGCAAGAGATAGACAGGACACTTACAGCTCCCAAAGAGCAAATGTCACGCTTTGCAAGAAAATATAGCACAGATGCTGGAAACCAGCCAAAGAACTCGATTCCCAGCCTGTTGGCATGGATTAAGTTCTTTCCTCTCTAGACAAGGACAGCTCAAAAAGGTAGGTCTAAATTACAGACAAACAGGAGCATTACACAGCCTGAAAGAGTGGAGCCGTTCAGTTGCTGCTAACTGGGTGAGGTTGCCCTCTTGGTAAAATGTGAATCAGTAAAACCGACCAAGAGGTTTTGACCTCGAGTGGCTGTGACAGTCACGGTCCTGGCTGGCAGGAGGCACAGCCAGCAAAGACCCTGGCGAGGAAATTTAGCCTGAGCTATCTTCTCTACAGCCAACAGAGTCATGTCAGATGTGAAGGCGACTGACAGGGCTTTGTAAAGTTGTATTGGAGTTGCCAAATCTAGCACTTCATCACAAAGGCTAAACCCATTCAAGAGAGGAAACCTCTAGGTACAAATATTGACGAGTCACAGGTGTTGCCACCTATGCTGTGCCATTTGGTGACTGATTTTTCTATGGGAGATCGTGAGGACATGCTCCTACTCACCCACCCATCCTACAGCAGAACATAACAGCATCTTGGAGTACACACATCAGTTTTCTCACACATGACAACACCATGCTGACACATGACATCGTGTCACAGGTGAGCCAGTCTGCAGGCTTGAACCACCACAGGCAGTCACAGAACCTGCCGAACAACCCTCAAAAAAGTAGGAGCAATCCTCCTAAAAAGCCAAAGTGCTAATCAAAAGGGGGGGAAAAAAAACACATAAACTAAATGTTTTCTCCAGAACAACATTTTCCAACCTAATGCAAGGAATAACAGCCCCGTCGGCAGACTCACATTGTAGAGGATGTCAGTCCATCCCTCCATGGTGATGCACTGGAAGACGGTGAGCACAGCGAAGAGGATGTTGTCAAAGTTGGTGATGCCGTAGTTGGGCCCTTGCCAGTACTCCCTGCAGGTGGTCCCACTCTCACACTGCCTGGCAGGAGGCTCCTCTCCGCAAGGAAAATCTCCCACCTCATCACCTGCACAGAAGGAGAGCGGGGAGAAGGGTTACCCACTGAAGCCAGGCAAGGAGCTGGTGCTGCTGCATCCTCCTCGCACCGCTGCACGAGTGTGATCCACATTTCAGGCTTCCTCTTGTCCCCATGGGCACGTAAAAGAAGTTGCACCTGTCTAATTTGTTATATGTCACTTTGTTATAGGAGATGGTTTTAGTGGCAGGGTGGAGGAAAGCCATCCCCGAAGTGCCCCCAGTTTATAGTTTGCCTCGGTGTTCAGCCGTGTCATACATGAGAAATGTCACACAGAAAAAAAAAAAAGAAAATAAAAAAAATGAGGAAAAGCAAGGCTCGGGAATGGTGCATAATTCAAACACTGTGAGCCAACGACACACCCTCATAGCTAAGTGCTAAATATTGACTCTGTAACATTAAAGCAAAAGGACAGGTGCTTCACTAATGGCTTAAGCAAGAGCCACTTGTCAATAGCCCCAGAATTGTCCAGATACAGACGTCCGAGCAGAAGGGACGGCCAGAAGGGTGGCCAGTGTCTTCCAGGGTCAGCTGTGAAAGTCTGAAGCGTTGCAGCCCTCCAGAGACATTGCAAGCACCAACACAGAGTAGTCTGAGAAACAAAAGGGCTGGGTTTTCAAAGTAAATAAATATACTAAGTAACATTCCTATTTACGCAGAGATGCAATTCGGGAAATATTAGAGGATTTTTAAAGCGACACATTATGGTAATGGAGCAGCAAACTGCAAAAAATCAAATTCACCGGGGGAAAACAAGATCAGCACTAATAATTAGGAATAATCATTGCACAGAGCAAAGCCTGCGGGAGGAAAACAAGATTGTCACCGTGGCTCCAGGATATATATATGTGACAAGTTTTCCTGTTGACTCAACACCTTAATGCAGGGCATCTCTCTCCAGCTCCCAGATGGGTCACCACAGGCTTTCACAAGGGCTTAGTGAGACAAGCCTCCAAAAAAAAAATACCAAATCTGGCTCTTGTAGACCATTTGTGAGCATGCCTTAAAAGAGAAGCCACTTTTGGCTCTCTTTGGCCTTTTGTTGCCAGGTAATGCTCTGAAAACGCAATTTGCACCTATTACAAAGGGTTGAGGGTTTTTTCAATATTTTTCTTTTTTTTTTTTTTAAAAAGGGGCAGAACTGATCCCTACTTCCCTAGCTGGGGACAACAGAGAAAAGAGAAGTCTTAAGGAAAAATGAGAAACAAATGTGATGCCCTCCCTCTTCTGGAGCAGCTTCACGGCATCTGGGCTGGGTCAGCTGCTTAAAAATAATCCTGTGTCAGCAGAACGGGATGGAATGGAGGATGCAGGGAGAGAAAACCAAGCTAGGTATCCACTGGAACATGTGCTGCCATTAATTTTTACCCATTTTTCATTAAAATTGAGAAGTGTTCCAACCAGCACAGGACAGACTGAATGGCAAAGACTCTGAATACCTCTTTTGCCATAGTTTGGTCCCCAGCATCCCTCTTTGTTGGTGGTTCTTACTGACCAGCCCAGGGCTATCGGATGAGCAGGGATACAGCAACATTTGCTGTTGATAACTCGGTTCCCTCCTTGCTGCACTGAAGTAAGAGCCGGTACCTCTCACGTGGCTCCTGATTTCAGGAAAAATCCCAGGAGTTTGCTCACTTTGGGGATTTGGAAGAGAAACAAGCACGAGCAACTCCTCCAATCTGTTCCCCTCTGACAGAGGTGTCTCTCTAATGAGATTCACATTTCCACACTCAAGGCAGCCCTTGGAGCCCGCAGCATCAGCCCTGGGTTTGTTAATGCACCTCTCTGGCGACAACGAGCACTTAGGTTTTAAAAGGCTCGGGCTGCTTCGCTCACAAGGGACCGCAGCGCCAGGAAACCTCACCGCTCGCCGCCTTTCCAGAAACGCCATCACTGCCACTTCCCGCCAAAGCGGGTGGAATCGATCCCCAAGAATTCATCCAACAACTGGCTCGATTAACTCTTGAGAAAAGCAGGGGCCGGTGCCTGCAAACATGGCTGCAAGAGGCTTCAGGGGGAGCCCAACATACACGCGAGGGTTCTTCGGTCACGCTCCCAGTTCCCAGCTGGGAGCTGCCCAGCAAGCAAAACCCACTTGCAGATAATGTTACCCACAACAAAAATCTGTTCTCTGTCCCCAAGCCTGGCACAGACATCTCTCAGCCACCGCTGGTGTCCAGCTTGCCTGCAGAGAATGCAAACATCTTTGGGTTTTATTTTCTCCCTTTTATGTTACCTAGTTTCTGAGGGGAGGAAAAATAAATCAATCACTCTTTAGCCCATGGGCTAAAACCAAACCACTCCACCCCTCAAGGTGGAACAACAGGGATTTGGTTCTGTATTTCTAGCATGAAAAAATTCTCTCTTTAGCCCACGGGTTCAAGTCAGCCCATCAGCAAGAGAGGCTCAGAGCTCAGCCTGCAGCCCCTGCCTGCAAACGAAGGATGCAGAAAGAAAATCACCCACCTTGACTGCAGTTTAAGAGACTCCTACAAAACGCAAACCTGCTCCGAACTGCTTTCTCTTGGCTCCCTCACCTTCTGCTCCCTGCACACCCATGTTGTCCCTGTCGTTATTGTCCTTCTGTAATTGCTGACGTAGCCCCAGGGACCCGGCAGTGGTCTCTGCTTTGCTCGGTGTGAGCACACACACACGCAAAAAAAAAAATAAATAAAATTTAAAAAATAATTTTCCTCTCCTACAAATCTTGCTCCAAATTGATTTCTTACAGGAATCACTGTGCTTTGGCCACAAGTCACAACCTCAGGCTGTCCTGTACAGGTCATGTTCTTCTAATGTCACATAAGGAAGAAAACCATTTCAGCCTGCTTTTGCAAAGCTCTGTGTAAACTGAATACATTAAACTGCTTCCATGTTGTTGTTACTGTGAAGGATGCCCAGAGATTTGGCAGGGATGCTGTTTTATTACCATTTGAATGCATATAAATAAATCAATATTAAGACCTATTAGTGATAATCACTGAAAATACAAGACTGTATTTTAAAGACAGTCAATTGCACCTTAAATTGCAATCTTTTGGAGGCAAGAACAATATTTCCATCTGTGGATAGCCCAGATAACCAACACATATTAGCACTGCCGTAAAGGAATATTAAAAAATTACATGGAAAAAAATGGCTTTTTTTTTTTTCTTTTCTTTTCTCCTCAGCTGGAATGAGTTCTGAGCCACGGACAAGCAGCTGCCTTTGACAGGGCAGTGGGTCCCAGCTGGGGTGTTATTCCTCTCCACTTCCATCTTCTGGGGTTTATCACTCATTCGCAGGCAGACACATTATTTACTCTGCAGTGCCCAGTTTCCCCTTGCTCTTTCCTGAAGGACATTTTTATCCTTCCTCCATCAAAGGGCTCCTTGCCTTCCAACTATTGTCCTTTTTTATTTTTTTTTTTGTTGCTCCCAGTCTTTCCAATCTCACTGTTTCTCATACCCATGCCAACTTGCCCCAGAAACCTTGCAAGAAAATTCAATGTTCAGCTGAACGGAGCTAAACTCAATGAAAATGCAAACATAGACCAATGAATGAAAAAAGTAACAAGAAAAACCAAAACCACCTCACCCTTCAACAAGCTTGAATAACGGGAATTTAGTTCTGTATTTCTAGTATGAAAGAATTCTCATGAGAGGAGGTCCTGACCACTTTCTGTACGCTCCTGTGTAGACTGAGAGCAATCCACTGGCATCCAAGGTGCTGTGGGGGTGTGACAGAGCAGAGGATTTGTCCCAGCACAGGTAGGGTGAGCATGAAAGTCTGTTAAATCTTAGAGTAGGTGGGTAAAAAGGGTGAGAATACAGTGAACATGGAAGAGGAGAAAGGAAAAGCAACGGAAGAGCAGGCTAGAAAGCATCCCGTGAGATGAAGGGAACTAGAAGATCATGATGATATGCTGGGAATGAAGGCGGAAGCTCACCTGTCTCGTTGGAGAAGCAGGTTTTATGAAACTTGCCCATGTAAAACTCCAGCCCGATGATGGCGAACATCACGATGGCGAAGAAGAGGAGCAGCCCGATCTGAAGCAAGGGCACCATCGCCTTCATGATGGACTTGAGGACAACCTGCAAGCCTGTGGGGAGAAGGAAAAAACATGTAATCAGGGAGGGAAGGAAAAGAAAGGCTTGGGGGTAGGGTCTAGGCAGGAGAGGGGGAAAGTTTTAGTTGGCAAGGCCAAGCAATGGTGCTTTTCCCCAGGTACTATAAAAAAAGTAAAGATTCTACAGCGATAATACACTCAAGATGCGAGAGAGACAATCAGGGGAGTTAGCTTTTTCTGACCCTTTTTCCTCGGATCACAGATTCAAAGGTCTTTTAAGTTTCAGAGACACAAAAAGGACTTTTCTTGAAGCCGGTGGAGTCCCAAGACTCAGCCTGGAGCTGGACCAGGTCGTTAAGGCAAGGTGTAGGGCAGCGTGGCTGTGGCAGAGGTGGGCACTGCTCGGGCACCCGCGTGTCCCAGGGAGGGCAGGGAGCACCCAGCTGCAGCCCAGGAGCTGCCTCTGCCTCCAAGACACACAGAACAGCCCCAAAGCTGCCATGCCTCTCGCACCCCACTTCTGGAGAAACAAACCCCTGTCTCCAGGGCTATCGGTCCACAGCTTTTCTGCTGGCACTAAAACTCATTTTCAATTAAAAGCTGGGGAGATAAGGCGAGAGACTGAGAGATTAAAGTGTCAGATAACGTCACCCAGACAAACATAACAAAAACAACTTCAGCAATAAGCAGCGAGTGAAAGCCACCTTGGTGGCCTGTCCTAAGGTGCAGAGAATGAAGGATCATCGTTTTCTTACCACCTTGTACAGGGCTATTGAGGTCAATGCAGGTGCATGCAGGAAAAAAATAAAAAGAAACAAAAACATAAAGATCTGTTGGACGAGAAAAAAACTGAGATTGCAGAAGGAAAGCACATACGATGCTTGTACATGAATGCACCTCAGGGTTGTACATTTAGGAAAAAAAAAACATTAAACACAGCAGGCTGCTTTCACAGCATGACTAAAAGCAGTAGAGGAAATAATGCTCTGTGGGAAAACATCAATGCTGGTCCAGGACACATTGCTAGGTGGAAAAACCCATCTTCCTGGGGGGCACATGCCACTCACCCCAGGACAGGGACACCTCTGAGGGGCCACCTCACTTCTCTGACACCCTCAGACTGTCACTACTCCAACCCCATATTGCCTTGCACAGACAAGGAGTCCATGAAAAACCAGCCAGCAACATGTCCTGGTAACAAATGAGAGGTCCTGGTAATAAATGACACCTTTCTCAAGTTTAGACAAGTCCTCTCTCTTCTGTGGGAATTCAGATTCAAGCCTTGCCCATGAAAGGATGCTGAGTTCAGGAAATTTTGGCGCTGTCATTGCAAAGCACAACCCTTTGCTGGATTTCTAAGGCACCAACATTTCAGACTTGAAGCAGCCAGGAAGGAGGCAGAGCTGATGCCCCAGCCCAGCAGGAGAGGGTGCTGCCAAGGGCTGAACACGGAGAAGAGCAAAGCAACCCACTGAAAAGCAACAAGTCCCTTTTGCTGGCTGTCACTGGAGGGAAAAAAATCTCACTGTTCCACATTTGGAAATGAAACGCACTCCTGACAGCAATCCCTCACCAGCGGGCAGAGCAGTTGGCGAACAGCGACAAATAAAAAGGCAGCAAGCAGCAGTGTGGGGACTTTGATGGTTTCAGGGCATCAGCAAGGCATGATGCAGCTCCTCACTGGAGTGTTCAGACCCTTCACGTTAGCATGTAAAATATATCAAGTTTTTCATAGAGTAGGCAAGGCGAAGTCCCATCTGCTCTTTCCCATCATTTCTCCCACTCATTAAAGTGTTAAAATCTCCAGTGCACAATGCTCAGCTGGTAAAAATTGCCCGAAGATCCAAGTCCAGGGTCTGAAAGCTGCAAAATTTGAGTCTCAGGTCTTCACATCCCAGAGAATTAATTCAAATTCTTCAGGCAATTTGTCGCAGGACAAATCCCTGCCGCTCACCTGCAAATCCAGGAGCGCGTTACTGAAATCAGCTGGGGACACAAAATCAGAACCTAGAAAGGGCAGGAGCCACAGCTCACCGAGAATATATGGCTCAGAAAAGCACGTAACACCCCAAAATCTACCGAGCACCTCCAGCTGAGAAGATAAGACCGTCACAACACTCACTTGGGATTCCCGACACCAGCTTCAGGGGTCGCAGCACTCGGACGGCTCGCAGGGTCCGCAGGTCAAAATCGGTCCCAGCAGTTGCTAGAATCCTAATTGCAAAAAGGGAGAGAGGGGATGAAATTGAGATTAAATGCAAATTCTTCTTGCCAAAGAATGGATCGGTGCTGTGTAAAAAACAGCAAGCATTCGAGCCAATTTTAAACTTTATACCCGTGGATCACACTGCAGATCGTGTCCACTGGAAACCATCAATTCACACGCTCCTCTGGAGCTGCTGAGCCTGGCTCAGGCTATAAGAAACCCCACAATATTTTCCTGTTTATGAGGCTGGTTGCACATAGCGAGCAGGCTTGTCTCTGGCCACTAAGGAGCAGCACCCTGTGCCTACAGGAAAGCACGTACCACGTTTCAGGAGACACTCAGAGGGAAATAAACCCTTCAGTTATGCTAGAAACTACCTGAGATCTTCCCTATAATAAATTCAGAAATCCCTCAAGTACTGCTGCCTGATGTTTCCTAATACCAGAAGCATTTTCTAGTTTACTCTGGGGGTGCAAAATTAATTTCTGTTCAAAGCATCTTATTTGAGGTGAACACCCAGAGAGCAGGGGGCAAGTATTTCCTCCGACATGCTGCAGTAACTCTAAGAAATCCAACCCCCAAACCAGAATAATCCTTAAAAAATTAAGTGCTCTGCACAGAAAGTGAAATGGCATCACTCTTTTAGGGTGCAGCACAGGAAAAAAAACATTTGTCACAGCATCCACAAGCCACAACGATGCCAACGCCTTAAGTCAAGACCCTACAAGGCACACTACCCCACAGGGACCATGGCCAAACTGTGTTCATTAGCTGCTGCAGCACTTCATATGATGCTTCAACAAAAACATTCTCGAGTTGAGACTGGGCTCCCCTAACACAAGCCAGCCAGGCAGTTAGTTCAGAGCAAAAACCCGCTCACCAGCTATCTGTCAACTGTGATTATAAGCAGATGCCATTAGTTTTTGCTAGGTTTGTCCCCAGGTTGTCCTACCAAGCTGGATGTGGCTGAGCAACCAGCCCACCAGCAGGGGCTGCAAAACCTCAACCCTCAGGTACCAAAGACGCCACCACTTTATCAACTACAACTGCTGGAAGCGCTGCCCATGAGGAACCTTGACCACAACCTGACACTTTGCCTTCCCCAACAGCTACAGCAGCAAGAGAAACTTGGAAAACTGGCCGAAAAGTGGGATTCCAGAGCTGCCACAGGCAGAGCTGGGCAGAGGCTGCCAGGCTTGCATGAAGCATCCTAGGCAGTGCCCTGGGGATTGAGCACCTAGGCACAGCAAGTCCCGGAGCACGGAGATGCTCAGAGGGGTGCAGAGCACCCCTGATTTATCTGTGCCTTCCTTAGAGGCCTTTTGCTTGGTTCCTGATAACTGGCTGTGGAGCGTTCACAGCTGCCATTAAAAAAAAAAAAAATCACTAAAATCCAAACAAAAAAAAACCCCAAAAGCAGAGTTTTTAAAACAAGACACATAGTTTAACTGCGTTATATGTGTTATGCAGGATGTCTGGCAAACTCAGCAGTGGAGGATGTGGCTGTGCAGGGAGTGCTCGCAGCACAGCCCCGCTCAAAGAAAAACTCAGTCCTTGACTTAGTGACTGACTTAGCCCTGCTGCCAAGCCCGGGCCAGAGGAGAGCAGGATCAGCATTGCTGTGCGGAAAGAGCCAGACTCCATCAGCAGGAGGTGCTGGAGGTCAGGAAAAAAGCATACTGAGATGTTGGATGGCAAGGAGGCAGCAGCAAGCCAGGACCTGAGGAGCAGAGTGTCTCTGCTACGGGACACCTGTTCTTACATTTTCAAGACCAGAAAACTCACATTACATCAGCCCTATCCATGCAGGTTGAGCATAAGCAACAGGAGACAATTTAAACTAAGAACCTGCACATGCAGAGAGTTCTAATTTAATCTCCTGCACCCATGCCAATGATTTCATTGCTCTTCTCCCTCCACCTCCCCCCCATCCTCACAACTTAATCACTCGCTTCTAAACTCTGCAATCTGGGAATAGCACACAACCTCAAGTCAAAAGATAATCTTAAACATCCACCTCGGATGTTGCTGCTAACGGCACAATTAGTCCCCAGTGAGTTGAGATGGATTTGTGCTGTCACCAGGAAGAGCCCTGGTTCCCGGTACAAGCTGAGCAGAGGGGTGCATGATACACTCTCCGTTTTGTTTCTAAATTCAAAGAGAAAACGGGATTGAATGAGGGACACCATAATTAGTCCCACGGGGCCAGTAAGTGTTCCAGTGGCTGGAGGTCATCATTCCAGTCCTGTATTCCTCGAGCCACCTGCTCGAGCTATGGCAACACACACCCTCCAGTCAAACTCCATAATCATTCATTAATTGCCACATCACCAGGACTGTGACCCCTTAGCTAACCTGCACAGGGCACCCCACAGCCCACCATCCCCCATGGCTGGAGAGCTGGTCCGTGGCTCAAATCATGGGCAAATCGTACAAACTACCCATGCCCATACAGCTGAGCTGTCACTGCCCGTGAAAAACAATATAACCCTGGCTAGATTTTGCCTAGAAAGATGAAAAAAAAAAAATACAGCTGCATCCTAAACAGAGCTGCTTTTAGTGGAGGAAACAGAAGACTGAAGGGATGAGGTGTAGCTCTAGGTCTAAAAAACCCCACATTTGAGCCTTGCAGGAAAATCAGGCAGGTGGTGGGAGAAATCAGGTGGGCATTCACCCTGCTAGCTGCAGCAGGGACAGCTGGATCCTGTCACCTTCTCACCCGTGTGCTCCCAGCAGCAGCTCTGCAGCCCCGGGCAGGCTGTCCAAACAGGGCAACGGGGGGAAGGAGGCTCCAGGGGCTTTTTCAAGTGTTACTGGATCAGCACCCATCCCAGGAGCCCAGGCATGTTACTGCTCAGCAGTCCAGTGCCCTGAACTGTCCACAGACACACGTGGAAAAATATCTCAGTGAGGGAAAGGCTTTAATTAACTTTGTGGCATTTACCTAAGCGCCATCTTTCTGTTTCATTTTCCCCTCTCCCAACTCCATCTGAAAGCTCACAGAAGTCGCTGCTAGTTAGGCCAGAACGAGTCAGGAATTATCATTAAAAATAAAAGAAATAGCAAGATGAAAGGAGGCGGCCAACAAGCACATCCAGACAATCCTGCCGAAACACCCCTGGCTGCAGAGCCAAAGTAAAGGTGAGGGGCGAGCCAGGGCCCCAAGAGGAAATCAGCTGTGAAGGGTAAAAAAAAAATAAATAATATAGCAAAAGAGAGGGTTTTAGGAGATGATTATCTCCCAAAAAGAAGAATAAATGGCTTGATCTGCAACCTTTTCTGTATCTCAACAGATTGTACAGAAACACTGAGATTTGATAAGTTTGGGCTGTTGCCTTTGAGAGCACTTCATTTGTTTAAGTGCAACCAAACAAGCTCCTCTGCACGATTTGCCTTGTTTAAGAGCAGAAGAGCTGATCACCAAACCTCCCTCGCTCGCACGCTGCTGTGGAGGCTCTGGGCACGCATCCTGCCTGCCCGGCAGTGCTCAGGACCGCTGCAGTCATCCCTCGCTTTCGCAAAACCTTGGTTAAATGTCGCTTTTCTGTAACACCACCTCCACTGACAAGCTCTGACTGACATCTGTTCTCAGAGACAGGGGCCAAATTTGTAATAAACGCTTGGTAATTTTTGTTCTAGCAAAGCCTGGAAGAAATTATAAAAGCAGCTTATTCCTTTGGGGATAAAAGAAAGCAAAGAACGAAGGGAAAGTTCCTTCCCTGAATATTATGCTAACATAAATAATTAGCAGTGCATTTCTCAAAGCACCTCAGAGCTCTGGATTGCCATATGCTGGTTCAGCTGTTGTCAGAGCCACCCGATAACGAATCTCCTTACTGAAGCCCTGACCAAATAAAGTGTCTCGAAATTCCTTCAGGCCTAGCCCTAGATCTCTAAATCCTGAGGACTGGGGTGGGGAAAAGCTAACCCTGCTCCTCAGGACTATTGCCACCTTGTGCTCCTCTCTTAATGGCCTCTCAGTGGATTCATTTCAGCTTTTCCAGATGATTTCTCATGCAGCAGGAGACAGAGGTGCTTTGCATCTCCCCCAAGGCAGAAGAAAAGGAACAGAAAGACATGAGATGTCCCACATGAGGGCCAAGAAGAGACGATCAGAAGTGCAGCGTTTTCTCCACATGTCTCTACTTATAGCAACCACACCTCGGGTCAGCCCGAGGGCTCCACGCACGTACCCGCAGGGGACTGAGCGCATTTTCCGTGCGGTCTCCTGGCATCGCTATCTAATAAAACATAACCGAGGTGGCACGAGACATGCAGGAAAGAACTGGAACTGGCTGCGACTCCAGCACCTTCAGCATGTCTGCTTGCGAGCAGGTAACTTAACTTAGCGCTACGGCAAAAAGGGGGAAAGTTAATACCAGAGAACGATTAACCCTTCCAAGGGGATCTTGCCACTGGTGCCAGTGCAGGTTCTACTGGAGGAGGAACCACTGGCATAAATTGGAAGCATTTTTAAGGTAAACTTGTTATTTATTATAAACTCTAGTCCTGCAAAGTGGAAACAGCAATCTTTTTCAGAGACATTATCCCAAGCACCCGTTCCTAACAACCAAATCGATCTCTTCAGCGGGATTAGGAGAAAGACTAAATACCGACCACCAGGCAGCTTCCCTCAAAAAAGATAAAACCAGGCAGCAGTACAGCAGCTGCCCTATGAAAAGAAATGGCAAAAGTCACAGATTCAATCCCCACCTAACACACACACCTTGGCAGCATCGATCCCAAAATCCCTGACGGAAGCACGAGTACAGAAAACTCCAGTAGATCACTCCATTCCCAAAGCCCGACTTTGGGCATAGGCTGCTTAACAAACCCCAGCGTTCCCCAGAAAATGGGGAAAAATAAGTAAATATCTTCACAAATACTGGCTAACTAGTTTAAAGGCGTTTTCTTCATCCATGGGTGGTCCATGAAGTGACCGTCGCCTCTATCTGTGCTGCTAGCTCTGACCCTTGGCCGTGGGACAAGGTCCCAAATCCCACGAGCT